AGGTAAGGCTGAGAGCCTGACAGCAGGAAGCTGGAAGAATTGACTTTTGGTGGATTATATTTTCTCTACAAGGTGGTAGAGAAGGCATTAGTGGCCCAGCTACCAGCCTCTGACCAGCACAGTATGGGGTTGTGGTATGATAATATATCTGGTCTTTGTCCCTGGTTCCAGGACCAGAGCTTCTAAAATGTTTTCCTGACTGGAGGGTCTTTTGTTAGTCATAATGAGCCCCTTGCCATCACTCCTGGGTTTATGCTAATGAAGTGACTTATGGCTTACTCCTGGATAGCTTCTAGATAGGAGCTGGTGGCCAGAAAGACCAAGCCATGATTAGAAGGTTGAGACTTTTAGCCCTATCCTGACCTCTGAGGAGAAAAAAGGGAGTAGAGATTTAGTTCAAACACCAATGGCCAATGATTAATCAATCATGCCTACATAATGAAACCTCCATAAATACTTCCAAATGACAGGGTTCAGAGAACTTCTCAGTTGGTGAACACATCGAAGTGCTGGGAGGATCGTGTGCTAAGAGAAGTCATGGAAGATCTGCACCCCACCTTCTCCCATGCTTTGCCGTATGCATTTCTTTCATTGGGCTGTCTCCTCAGTTGCACCTTTTATAACAAACTGGGAAACATAAGTAGTTTTCCTGAGTTGTGAGAGCTGTTCTACTGAATTATCAAACCCGAAAGGAGAGTCGTGGGAACCTCCAAATTTATAGCTCAGTCAGTAAGAAGTACTGGGACTTGTGACTAGCAGCTGAAGGGTGGGGTAGTCAGTCTTATAGGACTAAGCCCTTAACCTGTGGAGTCTTTGCTAACTCCAGGTAGTGTCAGATTGAACTGAATTGTAAAACACCGGTTGGTGTCAGAGAGAACTTCAGGGGGGGCCGGTTCTGCTGTCCGGGGTTCAGAGATACGCCCAGTGCCCTAGTTCAGTTTCATCCTGAGAGTCAAAGGCTTTTGACTCTGCTGGGAAGCTGACCACCATTTCCCCACATATTTCCAAGGAAAAACACATTTCTAGATTATAAACTCAGACCTAAACAAACTTCTGGAACATGACCATTTATCCTACGCATTAAAGGACCCACAGACTAGGGATATACTGTGCGCTCTTCCCTACCACTTGCCCTGGGCTCACCTGGATTTTGAGCCGGAATTTTCTGATGCCAGAGAAAGCTTTAAGTGCGTTCAGAGCTTGGATTTTAACACTGTTGTCCTTGTCATCCAGCATGGAGCCCACCAACATGATGTCATCAGTAGTACAAGCGGAGGCCTAGTGTGTGCCAGGAGAGACAGAAGAGGCAGGAGAAGCGGGTGTCCTGGGCCCACGGTTCCCCCGCGGCCCCGCCATATCACCAAGACCCCTCAGCACAACCCCTCCCACCGTCAGATGGAGAGACAGGTCCCAGGACAGTCTGACCAGTCGAGGGGGAAAGGATCTGCTGTAGCCTCCAGGGGCCAGGCTGACTGGGAGGAACCTCCTGCTTCCCTTCCCTCACCTCAGCCTCCAGCAAGTACACACAGCGCGTGATACTGTGCAGGATCATGCTCTTGGTGTATTCATCCTGTTTGCACTCCAAAGAGTTGAGAAGCCTCCGGAGTTCACCTGAGTCCCTCCCATGCCGCTCTCGCTCGATTGCCAGGCCTAGACAGCCACCCCAACCCAGTTTAGGCTGTGGACTCAGAAGTAATGAAAGAATGGGGTTGGGGTGAGGGAGAAAGACCTGGGGACAAAGCTGCCTTGCTTTTTCTGAAGAGAATCTTTCTTGCTATATGTAGGACCCCCACGTACAGTTGAACAGGATGTGTACTGCACAAGGGCACATATCTAATGCTGTATTATTCATACTGTAAACATCACAGTTTTTAATGTTTACCGTAACCATTTCCTGGCATATGCGCGAAGTCATCATATGAACTAGTGGAGGCTCTGGGCATGCAGGCCCCCAATTTTCCCTTGGGGAGAACTGCTGATGCCAAATTTCCACTCGGTGGCATCCTGGAAGCTAGGGTGAATGAGAATTTAAAGACCTGCCAGATGAGTCCTGAGGATCCCCTACAGTGCCATCCACTACCTAGGGACCCTGAGGTAGCATCTCTAGGACAGGTTTGAGGAAGATGCAGAAAAGAAAGAGGAAGAAAAGGAACTTAAAAGAGTCACCTTTGGGCCCTCCCACACTGGAGGCCTCGAAAGCAGGTGCCTCCTGGGACAGAGCCCTCTCCCCAGGGCCCGGACACTCACGGGCGATACAGATGGGTGAGGTGCTGCAGAGGGGTGGTTGGCATTTTATGCCGGTCTTGATGGCCTTGTAGAGCAGGTAGATGGCCCCAGCGCCCATGGCCAGGCCCACTACACTTTTGCGGATGTCCAGCTGTCCCAGGTCCTGGGGGACACTCTTGCCCATGTCTTCTTGCACCCAGGTGGGAGCTAGGCCCGAGGCACCCAGCAAGGACCTTCTGGAACCAGAACTCTGGCAGGGCCAGGAACCCAGGGTACTAGAATCAGAACCCGGGCAACAAAGGAAACCGGGGGCAGCCAGGGGTGCTTGGAAGGAGCAGTTTAGTTCAGAGGCTGTAGGAAACGAGGGTCCAGACTCTATAGGAATAGTCTGGGGCAGAAAGGTCCTTCAGGTCTTCTTTTCTTTAGGGGAGTCAGGTTGGTGGGGCCCCAGCAGGCGGCGCCAGAGGCTACATTTCCTCCGTTAGTGGACAGCAGAGACCCAATTTCCCGGCAACCGCCATTGGATGTTTCTGGGAGGGATATTTGGGGTGTGGCCACTGGCAGCCCTGTTTCCCCTCACTTCCCCATAGATCTACTGCTGGGCCTCAGGTGCTTCTGCAAGTACAGCCCCCCCTGAGGAGAGGGGAGCACCTTATAAAGTTTTACAGTTTTGAGGTAAATTTATCATCTTCCAGCATCTGCATGTCTACTGTAGTGTATATTTTTACTTGTGTGACCGAAAGCGCTTGAGGGCACTTGTCTGCATCTCCAACATTCACCACAGAGTCCTGCACTTAATAGGTGTTTAAGTCATGACTCCTATCATTCTTTGAGGACTTGAGGGCAGAACAGTGATATAGAATCTGGATACTGGGGCTCCAGGCCCATTTAACCAGTGTGACCCTAGAGGAGGGGCTGCCCTTGCCTGGGTCTCAGTTTCTGCGTTTGTAACCTAAGGAGATCCAGATTTACCATTCTAAAACTTGAAGATTAAAATTTGGGTAGGTCTGTGCCTTTAAACCATGGGGATCTAAATCTGTGAGTACCACACCCCAGTCTCCCCACCACCACACACACACACACACACACACAGAGGACAGAAAGAGGCTTGAGGCCTCTGTAGTCAGAAGATGCCACTACCCTGGAGAATGAAAGCTCAACTTTGGAGGCCTTGATCTTCACCACCAGAATGGAGCAGGTGAGACCGTCAAGACCCTTCCCTATGGGGATCTAAATCTGTGAGTACCACACCCCAGGCTCCCCACCACCACACACACACACACACACACACAGAGGACAGAAAGAGGCTTGAGGCCTCTGTAGTCAGAAGATGCCACTACCCTGGAGAATGAAAGCTCAACTTTGGAGGCCTTGATCTTCACCACCAGAATGGAGCAGGTGAGACCGTCAAGACCCTTCCCTCCTCCTTTCCCTTTCCCCACCCCCCAGTATCCCAATACTGCTGGTATCACCTTCTGGTACAGAACAAGGAGGTAACAAGCCCCAAGCCAGGCTCAGACCCAAAGCCAGCACTGAGCATGGTTGTACCAGAACAGGGCCCTACCTGCCTGTTAGCTCCTGTTGGAAGGTTCTGGGTCCTGGACTGCACTTGGGCTTAAAGGAGGTGAGAAAATATGGAAACACCTGTCCCAAAGATGCTGCAGCTAGCCAGGCTCGTCCACCCGGAGCCTTCACCCACCACACTGGGGCTGCAGGCAACATTCCTAAGTGGCCATTCTTTTCCTTTCCTTTTTTCCATCCTTGGTCCTCAAGGGTCAGTCCTAGCACTCTACCCAGCCCCAAACTGCGTAACTACATGGACTCTCTGCATGTTGTGAGTAGAGACCCCCAGAGGCCTCCTCTCTACCATGGGACCACCAATCACCACCCCTGAACTCCAGGAAGAAAACAGTTGCCTGATGAGGACCATTTGGGGTTCCAAGGCTCCCCTGGTGGATCTGAGCATAGATCCTCAGAACAAGGTTCCTGCCCTTCTCTGGGATGTGACCCAGAGTTACTGGTCTCACCAATCCAAGGAGTTGACTCTGCAACCCTCACATCCTAAGCAAACACAGTGCTCACATGTTCTTTAAAGACCTCCAAAGGAGAGCTTTCTTGGCTCCAACCTAACTCCTTCCTGCTACACCGAAAGCCCGTTTCATTTGGTTCTACCCTCAAATGGATTAGAGGCAGAGGCATTCCCAGTATATTTTCATCAGTCTACAGCACAACAAAAAAATAAAGAGAGAAATGTCTTATTTGTTGGTGTAAAATCAATGACTGTTCTTTCTTGGGAATGACTGCTTTTGATTCAGATGATGTCAGTTTGAGGAGAATTAAAATATACTTTTATGAAATGATGGTGATAATAGGCGGTAGATGTGTTTTTTAATGTTCTTAGAGAGCACAAATTAAAGCTGCAACTCTTCATGGGAATTTGGCTTTTGTTTTCTTGTTTTGGTTTTTGTTTTCTGTCAAATCCAGAAATCCGGAAACATTGGCTAGAGAGTCATATACACACAGCCAGCCCCAAGTTTCTTACCTACCCTCACCAAGGCAAAAGGAAGTGGGCTGTCCTAGCACATACCTCTCTCTGCCATCCGCACCAGCTTTCTACCTTCGAGGGTGATGTTTCCATCATGTTAGATGAAGTTTAGTTGAGAGTATGAGCTCTAGCGAGACTGCTAGGTTCAAAACCGGTTCAGTCACTGACTTAGCTTTGAGATTTCTTCTTGCCTCATTTTCTCTACCTGTAAAATGGGAATAATAATACCGACCTCATGGGGTTTTGGGGGTTAAGTACTTGGAACAGTGCCCAGCACAGAGGTCACTAGATGTTGACTAAAGTAATTACTATCATAAGGAGGTTCCACCTGGAAAAAAACGTTAGAAGGCAGTGAGCATACAAGTGGCGGGCCTCAATGAGGCCTAAAAGGTACATCATTCAGCCTCTTCCACTCACCCTCTACCCGTCCTACCCTGGTCTTCAGGCTAATCACTCTCAATTCCTGTAACCCACTTAACTACCTTGAATAATTTCGGATTAGAAAAATTAGAGAAACCTACTGTGCAAGACCATTAAGGAGGGTGACTATGGAAGGGCCCAGAGCTTGAATGCACAGGAGAAGCTAAAGGAAAATTAGCCTACTCTATATCTAACGAAAAGCCTGTCGGAGCCCGACCGCCTTGGGTTTGGGCAAATTCCATAATCTGAGTCTCAATTTCCTCCTCCGGAACACGGATCTATTAATACCTACCTACTACCGGGAAGTGCTGCTGTCAGAAATGAGAGTGTTATGACTCTCGGTGCACAGAAGACGTTCGACACGTGCGAGCTTCCCTCGCAGAAAGCCAGAAGCGTAGTGATGAAAGGCAGGGGGATGGGGGCTGCCCGTGCCCTGCTGCGGATCCCACTCTCCGAGACCGTCCCCTCCCCAGCTAGCGCTCACCCCCGCCCAGGAACCAGATTCAAGGGCCTCTCGGTAGCTCGTTACTTCTGCGAAGGCGTGGGGACAAGGATAAACGCGGCGAACGCAACTGGGAGCGGAGAGGCGGCGCCCCCAGAGGAGGAGGGGAGGCAGGGGGTGGAGGCCGCGCCTTTCCCCGCCCCGGGCCTCCCCTGTCTTGCCCTCCCTTCCCGGTCTACCTCCCCCCAGCGCGCATCCGGCGGCGGGCACAGGATGTTCTTTCGCTCCCGTTCCCCACACCCGCCCCCGCGCCCCCGCTCTCACTTTCCCTGCGCTCCCCTCCCCCACCCCCGCCGCGCTCGGCGCCGGCACCTAGCTTAACTCCTTCTCTCCCGCGCTCCGCGGCGCCCTGCTGCCCCCAGGAGTCCCATCCTTCCAGCCCCCCGGTAGCCCGAGGGCTGCCCGCGGAGGGGCGGGCCTGGGTTGAGCGCTGGGCCAGGGTTCTCGGGATTCACTGGCTCATCTGGGGCGAAGGGATGGAGGGAGAGCCCCCGGCCTGAGGCCAGCATCTTCTCAGTCCCTGCCAGGTCAGCGCTGCGGAAGGGGTTGGGGATGGGTACCCGCACTAGACCGAGCCACGCGCACAAGGGGGGCCGGCCAGGTAGGTGCAGTTAGCTCCAGGCCCTGCAGTGGGGCAGGAAGGTGGAGACCTTAACCTCATTCTCTCCATAGTTGGGATGAGAAGGGGCCCCGGGTTCAAGCAGAGGATGGAGGTGACGCCCCTCACGGCACGTCACTGTTGCCAAGGCAACCGGGGACGGCGGAAGCGCGCTGGGGAAGGGGAGACCTTCGAGAAAGAAGGCTGCGGGAGGCTTTGGGATCCGGGTGGGGGTGGGGAGGCGGTGGGGGCGGGCTTTTCGATCTTTTCTTGACTCGCTGGTGCGCCAAGAAACTGAGAAGACAGTTTCTGTTCGCTGGTTCGTTCAACAGACGTTCATTGAGCTTGAACTATGCTTCGCGCTGTGCTTAGACACTGGGCGACCGCGGCGCTCGATCCGAACCCTGCTCTCACTTGTGACTGAGTTAGGGCAGGGTGGCTATATGTCCCGGGGTTGTCTGTAGAATCGATGTAATTATTAATAATGTCCCTTTTCAAGCTTAAAAGTATCTCAATATGGGGGGGGGGTAGTTAAGGAACCTTGTCCTCCAATCCATGAAAGCCTCCGACCCTGCAGAGAAGACAAGCTATTGTCTACTCACTGTGCACTCAACAGGCACTTTCTTGGCACTTTGTCTTCTCTGTCATTGCCCCTCATTCTGCAAAGGTAAGTATCACTACCTTTAAAGATGAAGAAACTGGCTCAGATTTGCCCACAGCCAACCAGCTTAAGTGTTGGAACCAGAATCCAGACGGAGGTCTATGTGGCCTCTGAGTGCCCTATCTTTGCTTCCTTCTTAAAATAAATAGATGATATTAAATAAAAGACACTGTCCCTGCCATGAAGGAGCTTATAATTAATAGGGTTGAAAAAACTACAGGTAATAACTAAACCATTAATTTTGAAAAGATTAAGGGCAGCTCATAAGGCTCAGAGCGGAGTCGATGACAAAATAATCGGAGTAAGGTGGAGATTATCAGAGCCTTCCTGCAGGAGGCAGATTTTGAGCTGGGTTATGAGGTTGTGATTGGGGTGTATATGGGTGCATGTATGTGCGCATGTGCTGTGTGTGTATGATGTGGTGCCAAGAAAGAAACTAAGGGCATCAGACTAGGGACCCAGAGCTAGGCAGGTTGGAATCTCCAATGGTGAGAAGATTCCTATGAACACCCCAAAGCCATTGATTGGGTATGCACTCTCTACCTTCCACCCTCCCCAGTAGTTTTGTTTCTTACTGGAGCAGAGACCTCCAGCAGGCTGCTGCACTCATTCCACTCTGCAGTCAAGGTTTATGCAGTTGATATTTGGCTCCAACTGACGTTAACTTGGATGTCAGCTTCTCCCTTCCCCACCCCTCTCTGAAGATTCTGGAAAACAAAAAGTAGTGGCCCTTCCAAACAAAAGGGCCCGAGTCAGCATAATGAAGCCAACAGGCTTGATGGGAATGGGGAGACCAAGTCAGAAGAGAGAACTGGATGAGAAAGGAGCCACCAAATGGATCAGTCACTTTGCGGCCCTCCTGCTCTGCACCAGCCCTGTGCTGGACTCTGTGGTCTGGGCACGCCATGAATGAATCCAGATCCCTTCATATGGAACACACAGGTTAGTAGCTGGTGTACCCAGTGGGCTTGGTTGAAAACTCTGAAGTTGATAACACACACAATAAACAGTATTTGATAAAGATTATTCTAGCAGGGTGTATAGGAGGAAGGAAAATGCTGGGCTAGAAAGGACAGTGTAGCAGCTGCAGTGGGAATTTGGGCCAAAGGTGGAATCTGTGGGGTTGGAGAGGGAGGGGTGAATGAGAAAAATAAACAACGCATCTTGTAATGAAAATGACAAAGGAAAGAATTTGGTAATAGGTCAGATATAGAATGGTGAAGGAAAAAGATAGTTAAAAATCCACCATCATGGTGAGTTTGGGGGATGGGAGGGTCACAGTGGGCAATGGGGAAGAGCTGGTGTGAAGGACATGAGGATAAGTTCAGTCACTTTCAGGCCATGTGAGTCCAGGTGTCCTGTAGGTAACTAGGCTTGGAGATAGGTAAGTCCAGAAGGACAGTGGGCTCCATTGTGAGAGAGTGTCCCTGTCACTACAGGTGTGCAAACAGTTTCAGAACAGTCACTGACCTGGGATATCAT